GTCAAGCCAGGTCTTATACTTCCATTTAATGAAAACCTGGATTCTTTGGAGTTACTCCTTCTCCTTGACTGGAAACTTTCCTTATATATCTTTTGATGTAATTTGAGCTTCCACACTTTGGGATGTCCCACTGGCCAGTCTTTCCATCTTCATATATCATGTCCCTCGTAAATTTGGGAGTGGTTGCTATTCTCTCACCCATTCCCTGACAACAGGGGACAGACTGGCACACATTCAGGCCATACCAGTCCCTGAGGACTCTCCTACCACGTGCCCCCATGGTGTCTAGCAGGATATCATGACAGGATTTGTCGACAGGCTTCCTCTAGTCAAGTAAGACCATACTACAGCTTCCTGCTGCTTTGGAACCCCACTGGCAAAGGAAATGAGGGGGTTTGGTATGAATGGCTGTTGATGAAGTCTTGTTGACTCAGCTCACCAGTTTGTTTTTTCTCCAAAGAGCTCCTCCTCAGCCTATTGAATAAATCTTTGAACAATAAGTTCTGCTTCATTCCTAATGGGGAAAAGGGTGCTGGTTAAGTGCACATCTCTTTGAATATTAAAATTGAATGGCTCTGAGCTGCCATTCTGCCTGCTCAAGTATATTTATCTTCTCTCCTATTACTAAAGAAGTATCTTTGTTGAAAGGAGCCAAAGCGGGTGCGGCTCAGGGTGTGGGCTCATGTGCACTGGCAAGGGAGGATGAGGAGGTAAGGGAGGGAAGGGAGACCCTGTCCAGCAGAGTGTCATCCAGCCTTAGTGGGCCACGAACAGCAGGCCAGCTCTCCCACACCCAGCTATCCATCACCCAGCCTCCTCCAGGTAAGTAGGGATATCCCAGAGACTCTTCTCATTGCAAGGTTGTCAGTGTAGGGAGGGCCAGTCTCAGCTGCACAGCTGGTCCTGGACACCCAGGCTGGAGGAAAGAGCAGAACCATTCCCTCCTTCCACCCCCTAAACCCACTCCTGCCTCTCCAGGTGTACACCCTCTAAGCATATCTACTTGCCCTGTGATTCCTTTATTATAATCCATCTACTCCTGGAGAACAGCATTGATCTTACTTGTTTGTCACTTTTAGACGTGGCCCCCAAATTCTTAACAGTCTGAGCAGCATTGCTTGTCCCCAGGATTCTGCCATCTCATTTACCCAGTTGAGTTTCTCAAAGCTACTCATCTCTTTGGATGGAAAGTGGTATTGTAGGATCACTATGTCCCAGGTTATAGCACACTCATTATTTTTATGAAATATATGATTATTTTTAATTGCCACATAGCACTTGTACATATTTATGGGATACAGTACTGTCACTGGATAGGGCCTGAGGAGGTTCCCCCAAAAGGACATGGAGAGACCCCAACTTGCCCCCACCCTCTGAGTAGGTGGCAGGTTCACTGTCTTACATCATAGAAAAGCATTTCAGGACATGCTTATTTATTAAGGGGAAGATTTATTAAGCAGAGTTAAAGATGTACAGACTCAGAAAAAACAGAGTGAAGGTGCTTGAGAGAGTGGAACATTATGATCCAGGGTTGGAGGCATTTGTGTGTTCTTGGGGGTGTCTTGAAGGTGATGATCTAGGATGTGTATTGCTGGTGTCTGTCAGGCTACCTGTTAGTGGGCTACATTAGAATGCAAATCATTTGCCTATGTTTGAGGTTTAGGGATAAGGTACCCAGTTAATAGTGCTGGTTCCTTGTGGGTGGAAATTTGTAGGATTTGTGAATCTATAGTATGGAGGAAAAGTACAGGCTCAATTTGCAGGTGAAAGCCAGGGGCTTTATAGATTTATTGAATCTTTCAAGACTCAGGGATTTTTGGAGTTTCCTAGAAGGGAAAAAAAATAGGAATTGTAACCTGGAGTAACTTTGGGTCCCAAAGATGCAGTTTTTTAAAAGTATAATTTAAAAATTACAATTTTCTTATCTTTTCTCTATCTCTCTTCTATCCTACCTCAGTATGACATCTGAGTACATGTATACAATCAGCTTAACTGGCATACCTGTCATCTCAGACATTTATCATTTCTTTACATTGGGAATATTCTTTCTCCTAGCCATTTTGAAATATTCAATTAACTGTTGTCAATCATAGTTATTACATTACTTTACTCATCATTTTTAGTCTCATAAGAAGATTACAAAAAGGTATTATATCTATTATGGAGTTGAAGATACTGAGATTCAGAGAGGCCCCTGACTACTAAGCAGTAGAACCAAAATTTGAAGCTAGTCTGTCTGGTTTCAAAATAAGTTTATTCCACAGCCCCACAGCGTCCTCCTCCAGGCTGGCAACCCTGACTCTACTTTTTTCTGCTGGGGCAGAAGATTGTGTTCTCCTGATTTCCCAAGATGAAATTCAAAATGCATTTGCTTATAGGAATCATTTTATAAATGGAGGCTTACTTTAGTGGAAGAGAGCACATATAGGGGCACTATGGACTAACGAGACTGTGGGCTCCACTGTGAACCCGATCACTTCTAATCTGCAACAACCCAATTTGCAAACAACTTTGAGATCTTGTGTTCAGGACAGCCTGTTCCAAACTGGCCAGTGGGTGTTGCCAGAGTTTCGGGAAGAACTGTTGAAGAGCTGGATTTAGGAGGATGAGGAAATAGGTCCTTCGGAGTGGAGCATTCTGAAAGGGGTTCCAGGAGTTGTGCTGTAGCCTGAGGGCTTGGCACCTTAGCCTTGCTTCTGGAAGCATCTCTGCCTGTCTCCGTTGTCTTATGGATTGCTTCTGGGGTTTAAGATTGCAAACCTCCACCTCTTTTACTCTACTCACCCACAACCTCCCAGTTACTAGTCATGCCCCTTCCAGAGTGCCAGGAATGGTGGCTCTCAAGGACCAAGACTGGAGGCAGGACTTGCTGCTGCTCTCCTGTTTCGTGGCAGAATTCTCTCTTTGCTCTACAGATGGAGAGAATGACTAGTCAGAGGAAGCACTATTTGCTATAGCCTTCTCTTGTTGATCCTCCTAGGGTCCTCTCCACTCCAGCTCCAGGCTTTTGCTCAGAGACCCCCTACTATGTCCATGACCACCTTGCAGCACTCTCAGCCTGGCCATTGGAGGGATGGAAAGGAGCATGGAACAATGGAGTGGTCAGACTTCTGTCTACCCCAGATCTCCCTCATCCCCATGGGCCCCGCTGTAGGGAAAGAGACCTTCCAGATATAGAATCTCCTGTATTTCCAACCTACTGAAAGATCCAGAAATTAGAAAGAAAATTCTGCATATGTAAATTTTGGGATGAGTCAGAGAGTGGCTGCTGGGGTGGGGCTGGGGTAGCAGGAGGAGGGGTGAGGGCCCTGCCTGTTTCGAGTTAGCATTTCACAGTCCTGTGAAAACTGTCCTTTGGGAGAAAGAATGTGCTCTGATTAACTAGAGTCTTTCAGAAGCCTGCCTCAGGGAAGATGAGAAACAGACCAACATCCACTAACACAACTCTCTGAGACCAAGGGGGACCTCTGCGGTGGCTGGAACAGGCAGTCATCGCTCTAGTCTTTCCACGCAGGGATTTGACATGGTGGGAAGGTTGGAGCAAGTAGCCCTGCAGGAGCTGGAGAGAGGGTCACCAGGTATAAGACCTGTGAGATGGTGGGCTGCTGGTTTTCTCTTTCATGGGCTTGAGCTCTTAACAAAAAGATTAGAACTCTGCTCCAGGGAGGAGACTGTAGGGGAATGGAGCCCAAAAAGCCAAGGCCCCCGGTTCAGTCTACAGGGCTCATCCACTCTCAGTGTCCCTAAGTGAAAGCCTGCCTGCTGGATGGTCCTTCTCCAAAGCCTCTCTCCCTTTGTCCTGCCTCTCACACTCACCTATTCCTGTCCTCTTATTTTTAAAAGTGCCTAACAGTCCAAGTTCAAGAAGGTCTTGTTCCCAACAGAGTGAACAGGCCAGAGCCACTCAATGCAGGCTTGAGCTCTTCCCATCTCACATTACAGCTGACTCTGATTCTGATGTAAACACCTGTTCCCATACAAGGCCAGGCAGCGAGACCTGACCCCAGGCCTCTGACCCGCCAGCTGCTGCTGCACTGAGGCCAGTGCCCATGGGGGAAGAAGTCTCACTGCATTTAACTGCTCTTCCATTTTACAGGTGTGAGAGCTTGATGTGGGATAGGTTTAGACCCCCAATCAGGTTGGCGTAAGGAAAAGTGTGTTATTGGGAGATTGAGAATCAACATGGAATGCAGAATTGGCCAAGAGGCACTCAGTAGACTTGGATGTACTTGGGGCCAACTGATGATTTTTTAAAAATACACATTTTTAATAAAAGCAGTTTCTGGCATGTAATGTGACATTTTAAAAGTTAATGACAATTAAGTGGTCCCCAGAGAACTCTGCTGGCTGGATACTGACTGCATTAGGTGAAACTCCATGAGGATTTTCGTGGCATTGGTGGACCGTGCAGTGTGCCATATGAAGACTTAATCAGGCAGTCAACATTTTTATGGTCTTTGCTGATCATTAAATATCCCACAAAAATGCTTTTGCTAGCCAAGTCAGCAACAAAGTTCTAACAAATGTGAATTTAATAAAATGACAAGAATCAGCAAATGAAGAACTAGCATTCTTAAAAGAAACCCTTATTCTCTGGCCCTCTGTTTCCCCCCAACAGCTTCTCCTGCAACAGCCTGGCCTTGTTTCACACAGCGCTGCCACAAAGTTCAAACACCTCATCTTCATGAGACAAACTACTCAGGTTTATCCAAAATTAACTGTTTCCCCCGGGGACCTCACTTCTCCCACCTCCTACACCTCTGACAGAGTAACCCTCCCCTTCACACCTGGGCCTTGAAACCCAGCCTTCATCCCCCAGGGTCTTCACTGCACTGCCGCCCTCAAGATCTTCACCCTTCTGGGGTTTTCCTTAGAATGCAGGTCAGGGCTTGCCAACCACACAGAACTTCACTTTTCCTCACAGACCGTGGCCTCCCCACCTCGGTGCTGCTCCACTTGCTGCTCCTCTCGGCCTCTGCAGCCCCTCTCCATGCCTATCTTCTGTGCGGGGCCTGTAGGTTCTCAGTTCAGGAGGCCTCTTTCTCTAGCAGCAACAACTCCTCCCTACAACTCTGGGTTTTCTACCGCTTCAGTTTGTTCTCTAGCCCCCTGTCCCAGTATCTGCCAGGCAATTTTTTTTTTTCTTTTTTTGTACCTGGGATCAAACTCGGGACCTTGTGCTTGTGAGGCAGGTGGCAGAACCACTGAACTGAATTCCCGACCTGCGAAATATACATAACATAAAAAATTTCCATTCAGTGGCACTAAGTACATTTCACTGTTATGCAACCACCACCATCATCCATCTCCAGAGAGTTTTCCTCTTCCCAGTGTGAACCTCTGTATCCATTTACTTCATTCCCTTCTTTTTCATCCTGCCCCGATACCCGCCATTCCTTGCTGTTTCTGTGAATTTGACTACTTTAGATACCACCTATCAATGGAGTCATACAGTGTTTGTCTTTTTGTGTCTGGCTTATTTCACTTAGCATAATGTTCTCAAGGCTCATCCACATTACAACATATGTCAGAACTCTCTTTTTAGGCTGAATATTGTCCCATTGTATATCCATATTTTGTTTATCCATTCATCCCTCAATAGACCATTAGGTTGTTTCTCTCTTTTGGTTATTATAAATACTGGTGTTGTGAATGTGGTATACAAATATTTGTTCAGGTCTCTGCTTCCAGTTCTTTTAGTTATATATCCAGAAGTGGAACTGCTGGGCCACACAGTTATTTTATTTTTAATTTCTCTACAACCTTGCCCACATTTGTTGTCTTCTGGTTTTTTGATAATAACCTACCTGTTAGGTGTAAAGTAGTGTCTCATAGTGGTTTTGATTTGGTCTCACAATATCATGGCTGACTTTTCCATGATCTGCAGACCACAGTAGATTGAAGAGTTTGTAAGGGCATTGCCTATGCCTTTCTGTCACCTCCACATCTCCACCTAAGCACAGGGCCCACCCAGTCATGACTGGCAACGTAACTGTGCAAACAAAGATAGAGTGAATCATGGTCCTGGTATCTCTTCAGGACTTGGTGCTGTGCATTCCTCTGTAAAGCAAGCATCACCTACACTATTTGTAAGGGGGTGCTACTTGGACCTATACAGGCTCCTTCAGTAGCCACACTAGGAACAGGGTCCAAGTATTTTCACCTCTTTCCTTTATTGTTCTTTGCCTTCGGATGACCTTTAAACCATTCTTGAATATAATGTAGTCCTGGCTCTGTCACCCCTTTGGTTCTGAAACAACACACTACAGAGAGCCACTGTCACATGAAGGAGAATGGCTTAGCCAAGCACACTTAAAAGTGACAGGTTCCAGGGAACTCAGACTTTATTCATTTCTTCATATAAAATGTACTGAAAATGTTTTGAATCTTTGGAATACCTATTTGAAAACTTGGCGGCAGCCCTTTTATTTAGGAACCCTAAGTATATGTTGGCCTTTTAGAAATGCATCTGTTTGGTCAAGGTTGGCCCAGGGGAGCAAGCAGAGGAGGGCTCATGCTGGTTTGTTTGAGTGATAGTTTGCTGGGTCAGGCAGGTTTGTGTACGTACCTGACTCCTTCCTGGGCCAGGCAACCACTGCAGCCCTCAGTCCAAACTTGCACATTTGCTCATGATTCAGTCTCAGGACTAGCACTGCTGGGTGTCCTGTGAGGCTGCTGCCACAAGGGCAGTGGATGAGCAGTAAGCCCACCCTGCCCACCTGGCCCACCATGGTCTCCCACCCTCTGCTGTGCTTGGCCTCTTGCTAGAATCCATGGTCTTTTAAAGTCAAGGACACTGGCAAAGAGAGTCACAGATGCAAGGCTAGAACCCAGGTCCTAGGTTTCTGGCCCAGCCTTTCCAACATCCCTTGGTCTTGCAGGGCCTTGGCCACCAGAACCTCCCCCTGGGCTTCTGCAAGAGTCTGCCAGCACTACACCATATCTGGGTGTGGGACAGGGTTAGTGCTGATGGAAGGATTCCTGAGTGGGGCAGGAGATAAGTCCTGGGTCTCTCAGCAGTGTTTTATCATTGTATTCTTCTAGATTAAAGTGCTGTCCTGAGAAGGGGAGCCTTGCAGCATTACTGAACCACACCAACCTTCCTTCCAGACGGCTAGTACAGCCACCAAGCCTGCTGACTTAAGACAGTGTCCAGCTTCACATGCTCGGACTTTGTAGAACCACAGCCTTCTAATTCTCAGTGGCTTTTGTGGAATCTCCATATCCACTTACCTTACAGTCTCTGTTTCAAGGAAACAGGCTTAGAGAGGGTTAGAAATTTGCTCAACATGACACAGCTACCTAGGAATAAAACTAATTTCTTAACTTCCTATATTATGTGTTTATTTTATCTTTTGGGTGGCCCTTTCCTCCAGGCTGGAAATACTGATCCTTCGCGTTCACCTCTCCATAGCACCTGTGGAGGAGAAAGGATGGACACCATGAGAAGATGCTTCCTCTCCCACCTGGGAAGGGCTGCTCCTGTGGTGGCCCACAGTCTGCTCCCTTTCACCTTGGTCTCCAGAGTCCATCCCACCAGCTAAGCAGGAGGAGTGATGCTCAGGGGGCCCTTCCCTAGAGGTCTGGGAGAAAGGCCAGGATTGGAGGTCAGCCGGGAGGTGGCGACCACTGGGCACTCTCATTGCAGGGAACTTCAGCCGTGTCCAGACGGAGCTTTGCCAGAGGCGTGGGCATAACCTACCCCCTAGTAAGTGCTCAAACACCATGCAGGATGTGCGGAAGGAGACCAGCAGCATGTGGGGCCTGATGGTGATCGCACAGCTGCTGGCGGGCATCGGGACCGTGCCCATTCAGCCGTTTGGCATCTCCTATGTGGATGACTTCGCAGAGCCCAACAACTCGCCCCTGTACATCTGTGAGTCACTGGCTTGAAGTAGACTGTGGGGAGGGTCCAGAACATAGCACTCGCGGAGGCTCTGGGGGCTAAAAGACATTCTGATGCTTTCTGCCCATAACACAGCAAATGACTACAGAGCTCTGGGTCTGGATCAGGCAGACCTGGCACAAATGTCGACTCACCCCCAGCTGTGTGGTGCCTGCAGGATGGAGTTAAGATTATGGGTGGGATTACACGTGCTAATGTCTGTAACCACTTAGCCCATGCCGGGCACAATGTAGGTCCTAAGTCAATACCATATTTCCAAAAAAATAAGACCGGGTCTTATATTAATCTTTGCTCCAAAAGATGCAATAGGGATTATGTTCAGTGGATCTTATTTTTTCATGTATAACAGTCTACATTTATTCATGTACAAAAAATACATTTATTCAAATACAGTCATGGCATCTTCTTCTGGAAAATCATCATAACTCTCCAAACCCCAAATTCTGGCCCGAGTTTCTTGTGACTCTTATTTCTTGTAGAAACATTGCCCCAAATCTCTCATGTCCAACAATAGAACTCTCCTTAAATGATCACTTTCTTGTCCATGTAGCCTGCTCATAGAAGTGTATATTGATTCAACACAATTATTGAATTATGAAGATTCATATAAGATACAGGGCCCGAGATTTAGCTCATGGCACCACAACTGCCTTGCAAGTGCAAGGTCCTGAGTTTGATCTCCAGTACTGGAGAGAAAAAGATACAATCACGTCTGTTCATTATCAAGTGGGCATGTTATCTGTGTGTGTGTCTGTACTCTGATTGGTCACTTGGCAGTAAGTCTCAAGCTTATCTGTTTACAAAGATGTTTACCTCTTGTCCAAAGGTACCTGCTTGAGCCTTTACAAGTACTTAATTATAATTTATATTATCACTTATTTTAAGTGTTAATGTCAATAATATTATTTATTTATGTTAATATTATCTTATAATTCAATGCACCTATCACGTATTGCAATGGATGTACTAAAAGTGTTCATTTGGCTGATGGTCATTACTGGGGGTTATTTAGTGGTAGGGCTTATATTATGGGCATCCTAAAAAATCATGCTAGGGCTTATTTTATGGTTAAGTCTTATTTTGGGGGAAATATGGTAGCGACTCCTGGAGCTCTCCAGTCCTGTGGTCAGGTCTGGGACATACACATCTTACTTGAGTTGTCCACTTCGGGCCATGTTGGCACTTGCAAAGCAGACAGCAGATGACCACCTGAATGCCCAAATCCTTCCCTTAGAGCCAGTCACACTGGGCATCCTCAGGCCCATGCCCCACACCAGACAGACCACACTCATAAGCTCTGTGACCCCAGAAACTTCTGCCAGGGTCACCAGCACTGTACCAGTGGGAAAATTCACTCATCAACACACCCCTGGGCTGGCATTTAAAAATGCCATGAGGGCTGTTTCCTTCCTATCCAGCAGGTCTCTCTGGCAGGTGGCAGGAGGAAAAACAGGCTTGGTGCTATAAGTCATGGCATCTTGAGTAGTTATGGTCTTCTCCATGGGAGATGCCATAGGCATGGGCTTGTTAGAGCCAGGGAACAGAAGAGTGACATGTCAGAAATCCCTCAGTTTAGAAGCCTGGGGCTGCCCAACCTTCTCAGTACCCTCAGATTCCTTTCCCTTGTTTTAATTTCTAGCCATCCTATTTGCCATTGCTGTATTTGGACCAGCTTTTGGGTACCTGCTGGGCTCTGTCATGCTGCAGATCTTTGTGGACTACGGCAGGGTTGACATAGGTGAGTGTGTGCAATTCCATAAAACATCCCTACACAATTTCCCATCCAATCAGAGCAGAGAATGAGGCTTCAACTGTAGGTGTTCATTGACACCTCCCTCCCTCCTTCAGACAGCCAGAAGAAGACGGCCTCTGCCTCCCCTCACCAGGCTCATGCTGGATCCTGTGGGGACACAAATACAGTTCTTACCCTCAAGAAGTTTGCAGTGGGAACCTTAAGACCTAGGGCAGGCCTCGGGAGTGGTCTTTGCAGCTGCTCATCTTGATGGTGGCATTAAAAGTACTTCTCTGGTTCATCAAGATCCTGCTGATTATTTAAAAACAAAAGAGGGCCGGGATTTAGCTCAGTGGCACTGTGCCTGCCTTGCAAGTACAAGGTCCTGAGTTCGATCCCCGGTACAAAAACAATAAAATAAAATAAAATAAAAAGACTTAATAAGAACTCTTGAAGGAAAAAAGAAACACTACATAAGACATACCTATGGATTATGACTCATCCAGAAGAGTGTAGCATGGTGCCTTTACCCTGCGTAGGCACCAGAATTGTGTCTAATCTTGTTTTCACCTTTTATGACCTGAGGGATCTCGGTAACTTCATCTTTCTGAAGTTCAGTTTCATCATCTCTAAATGCTAGTAAAAAATACAGCAGTTGTAAAGATTATAGTAAGCTTAATATATGCTAGGAGGTTAACAGATGTGAGCTCATATTCTTCTAAAAATGGTATGGGCTAAATCACTGAGCATTTTAGAATGAGAAACTATAGTCCATAGACCAGGCACAAATGCTGAATCAACCTTTAGAGAACCAGAATGCTAACCTACATCTCCAGGCCCTCTAGCCAATTTTTTTTTTGAGACACTAAAGTTTCACCAAGTTGTCCCAACTGGCTTTGAACTTGCAAACCTCCTGCCTCAGCCGTCCATGTAGCTGGTATTACAGGTGTTGGGTCACTGCACCCAGCTCAGCAAAGGCTTCTTGCCTCTGTGGGCATGTCTTTTGTCTTCTCCTAGCCTCCCACAATACAGAAAAGTCTGCAGTGTGGCAGAGGGAATGGCAAAGTGCTTTGGAAGTTTTTTTTGTGGTTTGTTGGTTGGTTGGTTGGGTTGAATTTTGTTTGTTGGTTGTTTTGTTTATTGTGGTGGTGGGGCTTGAACCTAGGACCTTAGCACTGAACTACATCACCAGACCTTTATTTTTTATTTTCAGACAGGTCTCTGCAAGTCATTAAGTTGTCCACGCTGGGCTCAAACTTATGACCTTCCTGCCTCAACCTCCCAGAATGCTGGGATTACAGGCATGCCTGGCCACTTTGGAAGTTTAAGATCAGGAGAAAGCACTCCTGCATGAGGCAGCCAGGGAGGACTTCCTGGGAGTGTGATGTCTGTATGGAGCCATGACAGATGGGTGGGATCTCCACTGGCAGTGATGGGAAGAAGGAAGCTGCTTGAACACAACCAAGAGGGAGGGAAGCATGGGGAGTGTGTGGGTGCTGTCTGAAGTTGCCACTTTCCTGAGGATGTACTGGCAGCCCTGCCAGTGTCTGGTGCACAGGGAGGGCCTGCCTGTCTCACAAAGAATCTGCCAGATGCTAAACCTGACCTACTGCCAGAACTTAGACAGCTCTCCTTAGGGGCTGTCAGACCACAGTGTCAATTGCCTGTACTTCAGGTGGAAGTGGCAAGCCAGAGAGAGTTTTATGCTTCAGGATCAAGCCATCTTTGCCTTTTTGTTGGCACTTCTTAAATTGGTCCCTGATTCCTGGCTGCCCAAAGAGACCAGTAACTGAGCCCCCAAGCCACCTGGGGCAGTTCCCAGGGATGTCTGTCACTGTGTGACTCTGAACTGTTCTGCCACCTTCTCTTCCCCCTGTGCTCATAATTTGTTTGCACAAAGGCAATGGCAGACTTCTGGGTGTGGGGAGAATGGCCAGGAGAAGGGTTCTCCCTTGATGGCCAGGCAGCCCACATTGTTGAGTGATTGCTTCCTCAGACCCCTTTCTCAGGAAGGATCAATAAAGCTGAGAAGTAGTAGAGTTCAGTGGTTAAGAGTATAAGTTTGGGCACCCAGAAGATGTAAGATTGAAATTGACCAATGAAATGGCACTTACTATCCTTAACCTTGGACAAGGGACTTAACCTGCCAGATCTCCAATTCCTGATCAGCTAGAGGTGAATAGATGTAACTCCTACCTCAACACCTTCTCAGCAACCTCAGTGGGATAACAGATGTAAACCATGTAGGGTCTGGACCATGGGAAGCCATCTGAAGAATCAGCTCTTGCCACCATTACTCTTGCCAATGGGGTTGGAACAAAATCTTGGAGGGGAGGGAATATATTGTCCCTTCAGCCTGGGGATTTGCTAATGCTCTGCTCTGTGTGCAGTGGCCTCAATTCTCTGAGGAAACCAGAATCCCTGAAGAGGGAATGTTGTCCTGATCAAGGTTCTAGCTCGAGGCTTGCTTTGTTTTCACTGGGGGAAGAAGTCAATAGAACACTCCCTGAATAGAATTTCTCTTTCTAGTAATGTGAGAACATACATTATTCAACAAACATTTCTACCCTTTTGTTTCTCTTTAGCTAAAGTTAACTTGAGCCCAGGTGACCCTCGATGGATTGGAGCCTGGTGGCTGGGCCTGCTCATTTCTTCAGCCTGTTTGGTTCTCACCTCTTTTCCTTTTTTCTTCTTTCCTCGAACGATGCCCAGAGGAGTAGAGGTAAGTTTCTGAGAGACCATGACTCTACCTGTATGAGTTTAAGAAAGAGAGGCAGGCACAGAAAATAAATAGAACTGAAAAGCTACAGCCAGTTAAGCAAATTCTGGGTGATGCTGAAACAAGGTCATGTTGGAGGACTTCTCAGAGGCTTGGAGGATTCCAGGGAACATAGAGTTTATCTAAATTGGGATAGAGGTGAGAGCCCATAAAAGTTGAATAGGTAGGACTAAGAAGGGGGGCTCTGAGCACTGACCAGTGTAAGAATGGGTGTGGAAAGTGGAGACTATTTTGAGGTGGGTGACAGTCCACCTTCTAGACTATCTGGGGAAAGAAATCAGGGAATGATGACAATGGAAAACAAGGAAAAGAAGCCCTTGATGTGAGGCTGACATGTCTACAGCCTGTGCTTTACACATGAAGTGTCCCATAAAATCCTGGGCACTACAGTGACTGGGTGATCACCTGGTGGTAACAGAGAAGCTGGGTTGAGGTTGGGGGTGAGGAAGAGCTGAAGAAGTTCAGGTAAGAGATGGAGCACACAGTTGAGGACCAGGGCATGGCTGTCAGACAGTTGGGATAAGAGCAAGGCCAGATGTTCCTGGAGGGCTGCTGTGAAGGACCCAGCTGTAAGCCAGACTGGAGAAGGAGATCATGTCTGTACCCACGTTTGAGTCAAAAATAAAACTTAGTTGGGGCAGGCGATTTAGCTCAGTGGTTCCACTGCTTGCCTCACAAGCACAAGGTCCTGAGTTTGATCCCCAGTACCAAAAAAAAAAAGAGCTCAGTGTTTGGCAATGAGGTGGATGAAATGAGGTCCATCTGTGGGGTAGAAAACCTTGGCTTGTCTTAGGGAAGAATTTTAGAGATTGGCAGGAAGTCCTGGTGGATGGAGGGTGGATCACATAACCTGGGTTTGAATGCACCTGTGTTACCTATAAACTAGCTGAGTGATCTTAGGCAAGGTGCTTTGTTCCAGAGCTTCCTCTTATTTAAAATACTTGAGATCATTAGACTAGCTATCTTAGAAGGAAGCTGTGAGATGTGAGATGATGTGTGTGGAGCATGCTCAGTGCTCAGTGTGGAGTAAGAACTCAGTCCATGGAGTGCCTGCTCCTGGCACGAGCTCCCTGGAGGATCCTAATAGTGGGATAACTCAGAGGCCTGGCATCTGTGTGGTGCTCCAGACCTGGGGCCTGGAGCTGGGGCTGTTGCTATCAAAAGAAGGAGGCAGTTTCACAAAGCAGTGTACCCAGAAGGTGCCAAGGAATGGCTAGAACAGAGCCTTGAGCAGGACTCACTCTGGGCCCAGGAGGAAGCAGGGACATCAGAGAGAAAACAGATAGAAAGAGCTAAAACAGTGCATTCTAGATCCCAGTGTTCCATAAGCCAGAAGTCCTGGAACCTGAGGGCAGGAGAGAAGTATAGCCATGACATATAGACAAGGAGTGGGATCCAGGAAGGCACCTTGGGCATCAGTCATGTGAAAGTTAAATATGAAATACTATGCCCTCAGGAATCACAGAAGCCACTGGGACACATTCATTCTGGTCTCCAGCCAAGGCACCAGGCTCACCAAATACAGGCAATATTTGCTTCAAGAGTGTGTCCTCTGGATGCACTCCCATATACACCTGCCAGCCCTGAGCCTGAGACCAAGGTCACAGGTCCAGGGAAGGACTGTTAACACTCACCCCTGTTTTCACCTTCAGAGTTCTCCTGAGACAGAGGATGGAACAAGAAAGATGGAGGAGGTCAGGTCAAGAGGCTCCCTGATGGATTTCATTAAAAGTAATTGATCAACCGAGCAGCCTTGGGGAAGGGGCTTGGGTGTGTGGCAAGGGGCAGTCAGAGCAGGAGAGCAAGTGGTCCATAATTGTAGGCCTGCCTCCAACATTACCTGCACTCAGGAGTGCTTCTGCAAAGACCCTGGTGGCTAGTTCTTCACAGCTAGCAGCAGAACCAAATTCAGGCAGACAATCTCTACCCCCACTTCCTACCTTCTTGGTGGGGCAAACTATGTTAGTCCTATTTCTATCTGCCTCCCTCCCACTGGGTTTCTCCTAGGTATCTCCTCATCCTAGCCCATGAGCATGTTGAATGGGCATCCCCGTGGCTGTGTGCTCCAGGACTGGCCACTGCACATCTTGGTGCCTCTGATTCTGCCCTAAGGAAGAGAGGAGAGTTATCTGGAGGGAGGAGGCAGGAAAGTGGCCAGTCTAGAAGTAGCCAGGAGACCCCTGGTCCAGCCCCTGACGGCAGTCTGCTTGCAGGGTTCCCCCGCATCTTCCTGAGGCTGCTCATGAACCCACTCTTTGTGCTGGTGGTTCTGGCCCAGTGCACCTTCTCTTCTGTCATCGCCGGCCTCTCCACATTCCTCAACAAGTTTCTAGAGAAGCAGTATGGCACCTCTGCAGCCTATGCCAACTTTCTCATTGGTGAGTCCAGAGGGTGCAGTGGGAGCTGGGTGGGGCCAATTGAAGGAGGGCCTGGGCACTCTGCCATCTGCCCAGGGACGCCCAAAGGTTGAACCGGACACAGATAGGAGACAGAGGACTTGCCCAGGAGAAAGAATTTTAAGGACATTTTTCCTGGTTGGCAATTTAGAATGTTCTTGGCAGATTTCTGGGACTCTTATTATTCCATTCAGGAGTGGGTGGAGGCTAGGGTCTGCCTTCCTCCCGGCCAAGGAGCTGGATGTCTGACCCAGCTGATATCACTGGGGTCAAGAGAGGAGAGAGGTGAGTGGAATTGGGAAGAAAAAAACAAAAGTTTCCTGAGTTTCTTCCTTTCTCATTCAAGAAATTGAACACATCTGCTTTGGTAAAGTGGTCCTAAACCCAGCTGGACACTGTGCTCCTCTGGAGAGCTGTTCACAGCTCAGATGCTCACCCCCACCTAGGTCAATGAAACCAGAATGGAAGCAGGTCCCAGCATCAGCACTTTTTGCAGCTGAGGATGTGGTTTCACTAAGTGTCCAAGTGAACTACTGGGCCCAACCCACATTATTTGGTGAATTTTACCCTATGGATTTGGCAAGATGTTAGTACATGAGATTTGAGGATGACTCCCCTGCCCCCTTGACTTCTTTATGGCCCTCAGCTATGGCGCCCCCCTCTGGCCTTCAGTCTCTAACTGGTGGATCAGGAGTCATGTTCTTTGCCCTACAAAGCCCATATGGTCACAGCAAGGATACAGTGAGGGCCAGATGATAAAAGGTGCTTAATAAATCCATATTCAGCCCACATTTCTTGGGCGGCAAGAGCTCTGCTTCTTTATGCCTTTGCGCAGGCAGGATACTCTGGTGAGGATAACTCTCTAAATGTTCCTGGCAAACAGTAAATGCTCAGCTGATGCCAGCAATTACCTCGATAATTTAACATATCCAGTGTTCCTTCATGCCCCTTTCTTGGTGGTCCAGCTTAGTGCTCCCAGGCTGTGCACCCAGACCAGCTCCTTCTCTCCATCCTTAGGTGCTGTAAACCTCCCTGCTGCAGCATTAGGGATGTTGTTTGGAGGAATCCTCATGAAGCGTTTTGTTTTCCCTCTGCAAACCATGCCCCGTGTGGCTGCCACCATCACCACCATCTCTATGATCCTCTGTGTCCCTCTGTTCTTCATGGGATGCTCCACCCCACCTGTGGCCGAGGTCTACCCTCCCAGGTAATGGGAATAAGGACTATGGAGGTACCCTTTGCTACAGAGCCTAGACTGGCTGCCATATGCATTCCTTTCTCCCTTCTCTTTCCTCCTCGCTTCTGTCCATTTTTGATCTGATCTCTCATGTAGCAACTTAGAAAATCAGGTCTTAAATAGTATGTTCCATTATAAGATGATCAAAAGATCCTAGCAGACCACTAGTAATCAGAGTTAGGGTTCTGTTTTGTTTTGTTTTGTTTTTTGGTATTGGGGATCAAACTCGGAACCTTGCACTTGCAAGGCAGGCGGTGGAACCACTGAGCTAAATCCCTGGCCCAGGGTTCTGTTTTTTAAAGAAGTGTCCAAAACCAATTAATTTGGTTTCAGGATAAACCTGAGCCCCAGAAACCAGGAAATATGCTATGTTTAGCATCAGCTCTGAGCCAGCTAGAATTACCAAATCTCATTAAGCTGCTGAAGAAAGATGAAGTGATACTTGAAAAGATGTAGAAGAGAACAATGAAAGTGATGGCAGACTTAAAAACCCAGAACAGGGGAGGAGGGGGCAAGTGAAGTCTACCTGTCAGTTTGCATAGAGCAATATAGGTCAGAAGTTTTAGGTCTGGCTTCGTGTTCAGGAAGGGCTTTAGAGCCCTGTGAGGGGAAGCATGCTGAGCAAGGAGCATGTTCATTTTTCCCCTGGGTCCCATCTTGCAGCAACCTTTTCTTTTGAACTCTGCCTAATGAGGTCACAAGATTTGGAAATGCTGTACCTTTCAGCCTTGGTGTTTTCTCTTTCTCTTTGAAATAACCTTTTCTGTCTTTGGCGGGTGAAGGAGAGAAGGGGTATGGGGAAAGGAGGGTTGCTCAGAGAAGGGAACACACTGCTTCTCTGTAAGTTGGTTATGGACTGAGAGAAGATAGAACCCTTCAGGCTTTTTGGCAGCTTTCAAGGGGAGCTGGGCTCAGGGGGTTGTCATCAAGCTGGCCTGAGTTCTATTCCAGATGCTCTTTACTAGTTGGGGGAAGTCACTTAACTTATCTAAGTTTCAGTTTTCTCATCCACAAAAAGTGAATAATTAACTGTAGACTTATTGCAATGATTGTGCATGAAAAGGCCTAGGGCCTTGTGCTTGGCACATAAGAGATGCTCCATAAATCATAACTATCATTAGTAGTAGTAGTTTAGCAAACCTCTGGACTGTAGTTTGTCAACCTCTAGCACAACCTTCCCCCAAAATCCTGAATATCAGGTATGAAGGAGGATGGGAACAGTCAGATAAGCCAGTGAAGTTCAGAAGGATGCGGTGACCTGGATAATGTCTGCATGGCCCAGAAGACAGGTGGCCAATGACAACCCCAACTGCCTCAAGTGGTCCTGCTCCCACCCAAAGCCTGAGCTTATCTGGAAGAGAAGGGAAGGCAAACACTGCCTGGGACTCTCCTGTTGCATCTGCCATTTCTCTCATCAGAATCTTGCTTGGTTGGTTACTTTGACTCCTACTATGGCAGGGAGTTTGCTGACCAAGCCTTTCCAACTGAGTAATTGGTGGGTTTAAGCTGCAAATGTCAGAAGAAATGCAGAAGCACTGTAACCCCAAACAGTGGCAGAGTCATTGTTGGCTCCTACATGCATAATTCTGATCCCAAGGTGGCACTGGCCCAAGACAAACAGAGACACACAGGCCCATTAGCCAGGCCAGGAACTCACACTGGGCTGGAGTGTAGAATTATTTCTTTGGTCTTTCTTTGTTTGATTCGTTGTTTCCTGTTTTGCTGGCAGCACATCAAGTTCTATACATCTGCAGCCTCCTGCCTGCCACAGGGACTGCTCGTGCCCGGATCCCATCTTCCACCCTGTCTGCGGAGACAATGGAGTCGAGTACCTTTCTCCTTGCCATGCTGGCTGCAGCAGCATCAACAAGAGCTCTGCAGACTCCAAGCAATTGGTGAGGGCAGCTGGGGCCCTGGTGTCAGGAGGCGCCCCAGACAGTCTTAGAGCTCACTGTGTATCCTTGAAGACTACTTCTGACTCAGGGACTCTACCAGCATCCTAGTCTCCTCTGAGCCCCATCCACCCTCTCTGCACCTCCCCTGCCTTAGGGTCATGTCTGGATGCCTCCAGCCCAAACCCAGTTAAAAAGGGGCCCATGTTCAATGAGCTCATTCTCCAGACTTGACAATGCTCACAGCAGAAACAAGTCACAGCACTCACCCTCCTCCACAGAGGCCCTCGAGCCTCAGCTTGAAAGGTCCTGAGGGGCACCGCTGGGCCCTACATTCTTGCCCTGCTCCAAAACCTCCCTGAGTGGCCTAGGTAAACTAAGAGCAGAGGGCCTCTGTGACATTAACTGGAAGGTCAGAGCTAGGAGGAGTGGTCAAGGACATTTGCTTCAAGCCCTCTGCTCCCAGGTGTGACTCACAACTGGCCTGAAGTCATGGCAGCTCTATGAATAGAAGCCAGAGGTCTGGCTCTTGTGGAGCATCTGTGCTCAAGGCCATGTATGTCTTGGCCGCCAGCCTTCCACCTGGGCAGCCACATTCATGTGTTCACTTGGGGAGGCCCTGTCCCTCCTTCTCTGAGCACTGTGGCTCCAGACCTTCTAGGATTAGTCAGCAGTGAACCAACTTGTCATTTGTTTCGTTAATCAACAAATAGTGAGTGCTGGTCACAGCCACAGACATGGAGCATGTAGTGGTGGGTCTTTTCAACAGGGTCCCTGCTCTCACAGAGTTTGCCAATAAATGCACAAGATAGTGTTAGAGAGTAACCCGTGCTGGGAGAGCCTTCATAGGACAGAGAGTGCCTGGGGGCCTCCCTGAGGAGGTGACTTTAGAACTGACAAGCAGCAGAAGAAAACCTAGGAAGACCAGGGAGAAACGTTTTGCAGATAATGGGAACAGCCTGAGCAAGGGCCAGGGCGTGCTTAGGGGGCAAGATAAAAGGCAGATGGGCCCTGCTGGCCCAGAAGCAGGCTGGGGCCAGGCTTAGGAGTTAGGCGTTCTTTCTCCTAAGAGTAGTGGGAAGTCCATGAGTTACCATAGATTCCCCTAAGGAAGGAAACATACCTGTTCCCTGTGGCCTGTGCAGAAGGCATGGCCCAGGAAGCCCCACTTACCTACCACCCTGCTCTGAGGGGCAGAGCAAGACTGCTTCCCCAGCTACCTCTGTGTGCAGAGCAGTGTGGCTCTCAGACAGGGAGAGGATGAGGAGCTTGGATGAGATGCTCCCTTTGTTGTCTTAAAGTTGGAGGAATCTGTGGTAGCTTCTGTGGTTTTCTTATCTTTATTTACTCACCTCTGACTCATCCTCTCCCAGAAACAATCTTGACAAGTTTCCAACAACAGCACAAGTACATCAAGATTGAAAATCCATTAGCACAATATAAGGGGAAAAAACCCTATATGTTAAAATTCCAAACTGAGGAAGATAACAGCAATGTGGTATATAACATACTTCTGTGCTTCCTAGGAGCCAAGGTAAAGAGGGTGCATAGTTCTCACTGACTGGCAGAAGGAAGTGTAGCAGCTCATCAGTTCCAATATTGGCCTGACTGCTATGGCACTTACACGGTCACAGGCTGGGCCATCAGACACCATAGGAAGGAAAGCGAAGACCACTAGCCAAGCAGTGGCCACCAAAGTGAGATGTATAATAGTATTGAGCTGCCCAGACTGGCAGACTTGAAACAGGGGCTTCCTCAGGGGCCCTTTCCAGACAGGAGTTCCTTTTAAGCAGGAAACTCCTTTGGAGGCCTGAAAGTCCCAGAGCTCAAGTGGATTCCATCAGTTCCCCTATTTACACCTTCCCCTGCCACCAGTGCACAGATGGCACAAACAACAATGCTCACAGCCATCACTGCTGGGCATGAGGTATGGCCTGGCCACAGCAGAGCTTCCTCCCGGAGCAAGATAAGGGGGCCTTGCCCAGTGGTAGGATCTTGGGCACCAAATGTGGGTGTAAGTCTAGGAGCCCGACCCATGCTGCTGAACCCCAGACCATGCACTGGTTCTGGTGAACACAATTTCTGTTGCCCAAACACTGAGGGAGGTGGGACCCCTCGGGCACCTTCAAATGCTCGCTTAATCTCTCCACTTCCAAATCCAGGCTCACCTTCCTTGCCTGGGGACCTGGAGGGCAGAGGGGTTAACCCAGAGCAACTCAGGCAAGAGCTGGTGTAGATGTTGGAAGTGTTTGGAAGTGAATCAAGACAAATTCCCCCCTTTTCCCTCCCTTTCCTCTTCAAGATCTATTTGAACTGCAGCTGTGTGACTGGGAGATCTACTTCAGCGAAGACAGGATCATGCCCCATCCCCTGTGCCCACTTCCTGCTCCCGACCATCTTTCTCATCTCCTTCGCAGCCCTGATAGCCTGCATCTCCCACAACCCCCTCTACATGATGGTTCTGCGGTGAGTGGCACACCTGGGCCCCAGCCTTGTCTTGTACTTTCCCTCATCTCCCTTTGTCCTTACACCCTGCTGCTCACATCTCATCTCACTTGCCTTCTCTGGCCCTCAGAGTCCTATGAACAACAACATGCAAGGCTCTTTTGGTAAAATGGGCAAATAATACTAATGGCAGCTGGGTCAGGCTCTGCATTGAGCACTGTGTTGTGTGGCCCAGTTCAATCCAACAGCACCGGTGTGACACAGGCCCTGTTAGCTCCTCTCTTCTACATTAGCACAAGAAGACAGCTGGTGCCCCGCTGAGCCACATGTTAAGGCTAGGCTGTCTGGCTCCCCATTGTGGAAATGCTAGCAGATTCACTTATTTTAAATCCTGAAAGAACTGAGAAGAAGGAAGAGAATTCAGTTGGATGCACAAAGTCAGGGCAGGAAAATAAGGCAGGTTCCAGTGATAGAGTAAGAGCTAGAGGAAAGGCCCAGAAGGAGACAATCCCAGCCAAGTCCTCAGGTCAGAAGGGAGAGGCTGCCCAGGGTGGGAAGGAAAGGTGAGAGGTGTCCCAGTACAGGTGGTGCTTCTGAGGCTTATACAAGGAATGTCCCTCCCTTCACCTCACTCTGCAAAGGAGAAAAGAGCATTTCACTCAGTTTCACCTACACCACCCTCATGCTGCCTCACCACACTCGCTCCTAGCCTCACTCACCTCAAAAGCAGAAAGGCAGGAGCACAGGCCTTAGAGCCCTGGTGCCAGGGGCAAAGTTTCTGTTCCACCATATACTGCCTGAGTGTCCTTGGGTGTTTCCTAACCTCACCAAGCCTCAGTGTCTTCATTCATGCAGCGCAGGCAAGATACTGACCTCAAAGTGTTAGTGTCAGGATTATGTAATCTATTGCTTTGTAAATTGGGTGTTCTACATATTGGTTAATTATTACTATTAAGCAAATTATCATAATCATTAACAGCTAGCTAGGTGCCCAGGACCTGTTTTCTCCAGGATAGAAGATGAGGGAGAAGCAGAAGAAACCACTTGTCAAGATCACTGGGTTTTTTCTATTCACAAATCAGCTGTCAAGTTCATCTGAAAGCTACCAAGCTCTTCTTTGTATTGCTGTTTTGAGAATGCTTACAAAAGCTAGGAAACTCTGGAGTCAAAGACAAAGGACTTGATTACAGCACAGAAGCAGTGGGACTCTCATGTTATGTCATGTTATATCTGTGCCCCCTAAACCCTACAAGGGTAAGATGGAGAGGTCCACGTGTGTGTTCTGCATGCAGTCCAGCTGAGGACCCTGTGCTCAGGAGGGCCACTTCTCACACTGTCCCCGTCTTCCTCCTGCCCCCATCCTGTGGAGTCCACATACTGGCACTTTCACCCAAGGCACTTCAGTGGGATTCCTCTCTTGCACCCCAGGGTCAAATGGACCATAGTAGATCCTCTGACCCTAAGACAGTCTGCATGAGGCCATGAAAAGGAGAAGAGACAGGGTAAGGAAATCTCATGGGGAAGTTCCTGGGCAGCAGGGGGTGAGGGCAATCCCTAGCGGATGTCATGGAGAACAGAGCATCATTTCAACCACATTTCTAGAAAATGTCTCCTTCCTAAGTCTGTTTAGGGGCTGAGATAAAACTGGAGAGGTGGCCCTGGGATTTCAAAAAGGCTTACAGATAAACGATACTGGAAAAGATGACAGAATGAATGCTATTTAATGGTGAAGGTGAGGCTTAAAGGTAACAGTGTCTCACGCATTATTTCTATTAGTCCTGGGTCCCAGCCAGGCAGGGGAACACAGGCTGGGAGCAAAGCTTAGCTGAAGATGTGGAAGGAGAGAGAATGGTTGGAAACCCAAGAGCAAGTCAGGGGCAAATGGGACAGACACCAGGAGGGGCCAAGATCTCTCTACCCAGGTTTCACTCAGCTAAGAATCTGCAAGTGAGTCTGCTCAGGTTAAAGACCAAGACAAGGACAAGGGGGAGACCTATTATGGACTGGGCCTTTGGGGTGGGGGAACCTTCAGGCACAAAGAGAGCATAATTGTGTCAAGCTGTTTCCATGCGGGTCCCAACTGGGGCCTCCTTTCCTCCCCTGCCTGCACTCCAGTGATTATCCTCTTACTGGGGCATCCCTCAGCAGATCTGGAAGAAATTCCTTTTCCAATTTGCTAGCCGAACTTTGTTAGTGGGAGTGAAACAAACTATGTGCAGAGCTCTGGGGAAGCTACCTATCTCACTGTCCCCTCAGCCCCAAATGCTGTTTCCTGACAAGTACCCAACCAGAAGTGTGTGTGCCCAGAGCACGAAGTCCAAGGCCGAGTCACTCAGCAGGTGCCTCTGCTGGCCAGGTCAGGACTCTTCACTTCATATGAGGGCTTGTCCTCTGCTCTACTCCCCAGCTGGGATGGCAGGGCCATCCGCCCTCTTTCTGAACCTCCTTCCTCAGCCAAGCATACTTCCCACTGTAGAAGGAAGAAGGTTAGGGACAGCAACAGCTACCTAATTTGCAAGACCTTGTACAAATAAAAAATGTGAAGTCCCTGGATCAAAAGTGATTAAGAATTTCAAGACAGGCACGAGACTGTGGGTGGAGTCCTGTGCAGCTGCAAGCCACACACCCACGGAGCTGGCCAAGGGCAAAGAATTCTTGCAATCGTACACAGAAGCTGACAGCTCAGGGCCCTAATTACACCAGGGATGTCTTTTCCTGGTACGAGACGCTCTAAGGGAGCTGTTCAGACCTGCCACCATAAACACTCCACTATCATCTTTCTCTCCGCTCTCTGCCTCTCCTGTCCTCTTTCTTTTCAAGTGGACTCTGGGTAGCCCTGAAAATCACGTAGACCAGTGATCCTCAAACTTGACCTTGTACCAGAATCTCCTGGAGGGCTTGTGAAAGCACACATTGCTAGTCCTCAGCCCCAGAGTTTCTGCCTCTTCTTGATACATCCATCCACTAGATTCAGGGCTTGAGAATCTGTATTCCTAAAAAGTGCCTAGGCAGTGCTACTGATCCATGCATCATACTTGGGAACCACTAACATAACAGGAGTATTGAGGCCAGGTGAATCCAGCCAGTCAAGTGGCTCACCACACCACAGAAGGGCAGGTTCTGACCTGCTCTGAGGCTGGCTACCCCCTTGACCAGGAAAGAGCATAGCCTTGAATCTTTTCACTGCTGATTTCCTGTTTTCCTCTTCAGTGTGGTGAACCATGAGGAAAAGTCATTTGCCATTGGGGTACAGTTCTTGCTGATGCGCTTGCTGGGTAAGTGTCTCAGAGCCCGCCCCCCCGGAGTGGCCCAGGCTGTGGGCACGTGGGGAGCAGGGTAGGGTAGGGGAAGCCCCATCTCGTCTCCTCTATGCATAATCAACAACAGATGCCAAACCCTACATGGACCGTTTCCCTGATTGCTTGAGGTTAGGAAAGATTCCATCTATGGCATCAATTCCAAACTAAATTATATAAGAAAAATGGAAAGTAGACACAGCCAGGAATACCTAATACAGAGTTAAAAAGTAAGTTCTTTAAATCTTTCTTAAGAATTTGCCGGCGGAACAAAACCTTGCATTCCTGCCCCAGACAGAACAGCAGCTGAGCCCAACCCTGGCCTCCTTCCCATATTACAGAATTCACTCCTCCTATTGCTATTCAGCAAATGTTTCTTTGTATGGCACCCTCTGCCTGTGAACCCCATCTGTACTCGGGCAGTCCAGAGCTCACTGGCGGAATAGAGCTGTGCACATTCGATCAGCAGTAGCCCCTAAAAGGGAGAGCTGCTCAGGGCAGCAGGAAGCCCCAGCTCTCCTTGGGAGCATGGACTGGGCTAGGGCAGCAAACTGCAGGGCCTTTCCCTGACTGCTTACACAGGGCTATCCATTCTTGACACAAGGCGCCAGTATGGAGACCCTTGCAATGACAGAAGTAAAGAGATTGAATTCACCAGAGGGTATATTTGTTAAGGACTTAATGGGTGTGAAGTGCAGTGGGGAATATGGAGATTCCAACAAGAGAGACTTTGGTTGCTATCAACACATATTTTCCAAACTGAAATCTCTCTGCTCCATTACCCGGAAGGCTAAGTCCACAGCTCACCCTGCAGCCCTTCCATCCTTCCAGAGTGAGTAAGCCATGGCCCTCCTGGGGCTGGCTGAGTAAGAGCCTTTGAAGGGCTCAATCTGATGGCATGGGCTGATGAGAAATGAACTAGCTTTTTGAGTGGGATTTCTTGGCTTCAGGCTACTTGCTCCTCTTTTTGTGGTTGAGTCCCTAGGAGCCTCTTCAGATCCTGCCCCTCTGGCCTGTATTATAAACACAGAGGATGCAAGCAGAAGGTTCTGTCCCATCCTCCTGCCAGAGGCTAGGGTGTCATCTACAACTCCTCTGGTGTTTTCATTTATAACATCACCTATAACTCATTTATAAACTGCTCTAAAGCCTCCACTGGGAGGGAGACCTTGCATTTCTCCCAGTCCAGCCACCAGCTGCAAAGAGCCCTGCTTCTCCCAATGATCCTCCACTTTCTCCCACTGCTGAAAGCTCTAGATACTTCTGTTTTTCCACTGAGCCCAGATAGCTCAATATAGGATCATAGTTAGGAAACCCAGGCCTTGGAGAAAGTCTATCACTGAAGAACTAGAGGCTGATGAAATTACTTCCTCTTATAAGCTCCAGCACATTCACAATTACCCACTGGGATCTGGCTGAATTTTTGTCTGGACTTTATTTCTACTTAGAGATAGAGGTCTGTCCTTTTGGCCAGCTCTTATTCCTTGTTCACCTAGAGATGGAAGTAAGCAGGGTCAGAGTAGAGAGGCCACTTCTAGAAGCTGCCAGCTCAGGGATAGGGCTATAAGTGCAATGCATTGCATCTTTCTTTCCTCCAGAAGAAGCAACTCACAGGGCCCTAAATAGTTTGGGAAGCTGTTCTCAGAACTGTGGTTTCAGAATGAAAAGACCCATGTTCAGTGTGAATCCTGGACCAGCCCAACCTCGGCCCAGTGACTGCCTAGAACTTAGCTAGTGACACAGAGTAGGAGCTCCCAGTATGTCACTGCCAGTAAGGCACAGAGCCTGCTGGACCAGGTCATACCATTCAGCTGCTGGGACATTCAGGGGGCAAGGGCAGAGCCTCTGATAGCTCTGATAGATAGGGGTATCTTCAGAGGGTGTTGTTTAACCCAGCAGGGTAGTATGAGATGGAGAACAGACAAGCAATTCGAACTTCCATAAGCCAGGGTGCAGAGTGCAGCCCTGAGTCCCATGGCCAAGCTCAACATTCCCTTGTTGTGGTGGCAGACCTGTCCTCAGGGCCCTGTGAGGACAGGAAGTGATGCCTTCGCTGGGGCCAGCCTCAGCATGAGAACTGCTGTGTGTCTGAGCTGGCATCAAGGTAACTGTGTGACTCATCCTGCCCTGAAAAGATGGCCGAGGTCCCTTTTATCTCCTAAGCCTTCTGGTAAAAGAGAAATTCAGATTTCACTGGCAGCTATTCTGCTTTCTCAAGTCAGCATGATTCCAAGGGCAGGGCAAAGCCATCCTCTTGCGTGGGAACAGGGCAAGGTCCTGTGTGTGTGTGGGGGGGGGGGGTGTCTGCCTGCAGTTCCCCATGACCCAGGCTCTCAGAAATTTCTTCTCTGCTGCTTCCAGCCTGGCTGCCATCTCCAGCCCTCTATGGCCTCATCATCGACTACTCCTGCATCCGGTGGAATTCACAGTGCTCAGGGAGGCGAGGGGCCTGCATCTACTATGACAATGATGCTCTCCGGGACAGGTAAGGGTCCCAGGCTCTGAGCCCAAGCAGATAATAGCCATATGCTCAGTAGCTATGGTGGGGGCTGCTGACGGGAGAGGACCTGAGGGACCATCTCTTCAGGCCTGCCATGGATAGTGCCAGGAGCCACCGTGACAAGCATTTCAGAGCCCACAGGGAGTCACCCAGGCACGGAGATGGTTCCCTCCTGTACTAGTCCCACAGACCCTGGGGAGGAGCAGCAGCAGAAGCAGTGAAAGGGAAAGGGGTGGCTGCTGGAGTCTGAGGGACACCAGGTGTGATGTGGAGAAATACCAGGCCAGCCTCCTATTATTCAAACAGAGGGGCCCCACCCTAGCTCCTGCAGGAGCCCAGGCCAGGGGGACCCAACCTGCCTCAGTGAGCCAAGGCCAGCTGTAGCCCACCGAGTTCTACCCCCTCTACACACACACGCACTGCCACCTTACCTGCTGCTATCATCGCACAAACCAGAAACTGCAGGGAAGGTGGGTTTGAGCAGGCTGTGTGGGGCTGGAAACACTGTGGGACTGGCCAAGCAGGCCAGGAGCCAGACCAAGTGGTAGGGCAACAAAAAGATGCTCCCTCCTCCTCTGCTGAGGGAACAGGCCCCTCCAAGGCTGGCTGGGGTGGCTGTGTCACCTCTCATGCTCTGGGTATGCCAGTGGGGAGCTGAGGAGCACTGCAGTCCCATGTTTGCTCCTGGCCCACTTCTTGTGAGATGTATATCCTTCCAAGTCAAAAGAGTGAAGAAAATGATCCCCGCTTGGGTAGTGACCGATTCTTACCTAAGTTATGACAGACACATTCCCTGGGCCACTGTGAGAATGATGCTCCTCTTGCTGATAGCCTGATCCTCTGAAGTGGGCTCCAGGGACCCTGTCCCTCACCACATGTGTTTCTTCCACTCCACAGGTACCTGGGCCTACAGATGGGCTACAAGGCACTGGGCATACTCCTGCTTTTCTTCATCAGCTGGAAGGTGAAGAAGAACAGAGAATATAATGTGCAAGAGAAGGCTATGGACCTCATCTGACCCTCACCCAGGCCATCACCTTGCTCCAAAGTGGACCCTGCCTACTCCTCACTTGTCTGTATCCACTAATGTTAACATGTCTCTTTCTTTTTGTTTTTTAAATAAGAAAGAAAACCCCAATCACCATTTGCCTCTCCTGCCTCCTCTTGCCAAAGTCTCCCTATGGCTCCTGAGGTCTGGTGCCTACCTGAATTAAGTGGGCTCACAGCTGGAGGGCCTAGTCTTCCTTGGCTTCTTGGAAGGGGCCCCCATATGCCCAAGCTCTCCTTACTGCCCGGGCCTCCAACAAGGATGCTCATGAAGGCAGCCCTTGACCCTGACCAACCCTGGGGGTGGGAGTTAAATGGAGTAAGAAAAAAAGGATGTGCCCTGCTTGCCAGGCAGCCAGGCTCCCCTGTCTGCCCACATCCTGCAGAGAACAGAGTTAAAAGGAGGAAGGGAACAGCTGAGTCATTAATAGCCAGAGCTGGGCTCCGGGAAGAAGAAGCCAGCCATAGTCCCTGCTGCATCTGCATTCATACAGCATGGAATTCAGGAGGAACTGGCTCCCTTTGCCCTCAGATCCTCCTTTCCTGCACCCCAGAAGCCTCTTGGAAGCTGCAGAATCAGAAGTACAGCCCCTTTTCTGTTACCCAGACTCTGGCACCAGAGCAGGAACTGAAAAACCCTGAGATGGGTCATCCAAATGCTAACACTGTGAACCTAAGACCTTTCTGTCCTTAAACTTGCATGTGTGTCCCTTCCTCTTCCTGGGGCTACATGTCAGGCTGAGAAAGCCCCATACAGTGAAGACCCAAGAAGACCTGTGAAATGACGTGATGCCCAATCTCTCACCCTCACAATGGAAACGAGACCCCTTCATCTCAGAGCCATGGGAAGGCCCTCCCTACATTTCCTTGAGACCAGAGGAAGCAGCTTCACGTGGTCTCGCATGTCTAGTCCAGCTTGTATCCAGAGGGCTGAAGAGAGGTGGTCTGAGATACCACCCAGACACACAATGAAGCAGAGAGGTTTCAGCTGTGACTACCTGGATAACACACTAGACAGAGGTCGGCGAGTCTGACTTTCCTAGTTTCAAACACACTGCATTCATCAACATTTTCTCAGCCTCTTCTTGTTGCCTCCAGAGAGGTGGGCACCCTCTGTGGGTCGGTGCTAGGAGACACTGCAGTTATGTGATAAAGATTCAGAGCTAGAAGCCACCAAGATGCCTTTCATCAGCAGCAGTTCTACTTACTGGAGACCACCTTTGTGCTCAGCCATGCTAGTATGTGGTTCTCCAGAGAGCTTCCCTCATATTTTACCTTACCTCCCTCCACTGACACGAGGGCTCCCAGAGTGTGCTTGGTGGGCAGTGCGGACAGTGAGGGGCAGGGGACGACTCATGCTTTTCAAGCACAAGTATCCAAAAACTGGCAAAAAGGATCCTGACCTGACTATCTGTGGCCCCACCAGACTGACTCCTTTGTGAAACAGAAACCTGGCTCACCGTGTCCACTGGAGCAGCTGGGCTTGGTCCCTGCAGTGCATGACCCTCGAGCGCCACTCCTTTTGGAAGACTAACCTTGGTCTTTCTTAATGCAATTTAACCAAATCCTGAAGGCACTGACTTCCACTGAGCTCATGAATAACGAATGCCAACTTGCAGGTTCTGGAAACATGGTTGCCCTCCAAAACCTTTATTCTATTATATTGTTATTAATATATTATAATTGTGCTACTGATATAACTTGGTCATGAATTTATGCTGTTACATACATCTACCAGAGAGTAGACAGAACCTTCTCTCGCTTATTTTTTTTCCCCCCATTAACTTCATTGGTACATTTTAGGTATACAATACAGTTACTTTCATCATTGGGATCTTGTACCATTACATGAGTTTCTTGGTTCTTATTTTTTTCCCCTTCCCTTGCCCTCCCTTCACCCCCTCTACCCTTCCCTATTTGCAAAGACCTTGTTTCCATTTTTTTCCTCTTCTCATAGTTTTTCCTTTCCCTTTTTCCTTCCCCTACCCCTCCCAATTCCCCTGCTCTTTTAGACCTTTTCTTCCTGTTACACAATATCAGTTATACATTTTTAAATTACAATATTAAGATCTAGGAGACATTACCACAGATTTTACAGAATTTAAAAGGATATAGAAAGCATATTACAAAAATCTTTTTTGAAATAAATTTGACAACTTCTAAGAAGTAACTTAGAAGACAAATTCATGAAACTAACTCTGGAGGAAATATAAAATTTGAATAGCACCTATTCAAGAAAGTATATTCCTAGCTTGAAAACCTACCTATATGACAACAGCAGGCTCATAAACATTTTAACTGATAAATTATATCAAACAATTAAAGCAGAAAAAAGAAGGAACACTTCTCCCCTCATTTTAGGAACTCAACATTATGCTAATCCTAAAATTGGATAAAGATAATAGAAGAAAAAAGTATGAACATAGATAGAAATTTGTTTAACAAAACAAACTATTAGAAGTCAGATCTGGCAGGATGTAGAAAGTGGTTTTGTTATAGGGATGGCAGTGTTAGTTCAGCATTGGAAGATCCACCCCCAAAAGTAATCATTTTAACAGAGGAAAGGAAAAAGCCATATGATCCTGTCACTAGTTGGAGAAAGAGTATTGGACTAAATTCTACAGCTGTGCATGGTAAAAGCTATCAGGAGACTAGAAGTAGAACAGAACCTTCTCAACAGATCAAAGACATGTACTCCATACTTCCAACAAAAACTCCTTCTATGAATGGAGACGATACAATGCTTTCTCTCTAAAGTGGGGAACAAGGGCATATATGCCTACTCTTCATCTTAGACAGAACCTTCTAGACAGAGGAAATACCCATGCCACAGCTCTCAGAGGCCTTAGATCACGTGACTCTCAACCTGTCAACTTGGTGCTAAACAGGCACCAGGCACATCTTGTTCCTTCAGAGAAATTCTTCAGGTTACTGTCAAAGATCCATGCTGCTGGGCTCTCAGGATATATCTAGAAGAACTGAACATGAACAACTGTCCATGACACAAAGCTGAATTCATATCATAATCACAATTGATGTCTTACTACCCCCCCAGGAAATCTTTTCTCTAATACCAGCAGGGAATATATAATGGTGTCACTTTTATTTCTCTTAGGAAAAAAGAACTTCCTTGAGTATAGGATGCTCACAGAGGATGCTGCTACAATGTGGATTCTGTACATTAAGGCCAAGAGTCCATTTCTGTAACTGGGAAGGAGACCCAGAAATGGCACTTTTAACTGGCCCTCACATGAGGCTATGGGTGGTCCTCAAACCCCACGTCGTGAGTCAGCAGTGCAGCAGAGCCTTGGGCAAGCCCAGCTTGACCCAGCTACTGAGGAGAAGTGTATCGACTGAGAGGCCTTTGGTAAATTCCACTGTGAGTGAAGGATGACAGGGTGAAGGGATGCCTGCCTGAGAGTATGATTTCCTGGGTGGTTGCAGCCAGGAGTGCAAAGGCATGAAAAACAAGCCAAGAGCTCACAGTCCCACTAGGTTCTTATCAGCACTGAGAGAGAAATGCACATTCCACAAGCGTGGATGTGCAGGAAATGTCACAGTTGTCTCTTTCAGTCAGTTAAAGCTGGTGTCAAGCCCCCATCCTGCTGAGCGGCTGGAAATTCAACATCATATATCCTTAGGACTGGCTCCCAGAGCCATCCCAAGGTCCTTGGATGCCTGTGCTTTGAAGCTCATTGAGAGTCTTTGATCCTTTCCCAGACTGAGGCCCCCTAGTGCTAGTGGCCCTGCTTCTCCACTGAGCCTGGAAACCCAGCAGAGGTTAAATTCATCTCCTCAGGCACACCCACAGCTCTCCCCTCTTCCCATTCGAGTCACCCGGATCCAGTCCTAGGAAGCCCACTCCTCTGCACCACACCATTTCCCTGCACAGTCCAGCCCCACAGGCGATGAACAAAAGAGTCAGGAAAGGAAGGATCTGCAGGAATTCTACTCTGTCCTTCTCTGACCCTTCTTGGAATAAGAGGGAGAAAATACAGTGAGAACCAAACATCATATTGCCATCAATTACCCTTCGGCCCAAAGCCCTTTAGAAGGAGCCCCACTACAGCCCCATGATGGTGGCCAGACTGGTTTTAGGTCTTAAAAAAATGAGGAATCTGAAATCAAGAAAGAAATTATTGTGGTCAGCTTCACACAAACAATAACTTGCCAAGCTTGCACTCAGAACAGGCTGCCCAGATCTCTCTGCCTGATACAACCCCATGTTCCCTACTTAGTCATTCTGAATTTAGTGGGGGTACTTATATAGTGGGTACCCCCCTCTTCTCCCACTGAAGTTCACTGGCCTGTGGGAGAGAGCTGAAAAATCTCCTTAGGGCAATGTAGGATGGGTAACAGAGATGGGGAAAACCAGGTTATATTGCAGTTACCCACCTTCTATTCAACCAGCACAGAGCATCACAGCTATTCATTGTAGGCCCATTTAGCCCTATAGCACTATGAATTAGAGACTCATGGAGAAAATGGACAAACAGGAAACAGTTGTGAGAAGAAAAGGCCTTAAGAACTCTACACACAGACAGACCTTTGAGGTAACACCCCCATCTGGTGACTGGTTAGCAGATTCTTGCTTAAGAAACAAAGCCATACTGTGATTTTCTTCAACTGTTTTCAACGATGGAAAGATATAGTTAAGCTGGCACCTGAATTCATTTAGTATCAAAGTGGTATTAAAATATTATATTACAGATTCCCAGACAGATTGACAGTGGCAGAGAGAGAGAGAGAGAGAGAGAGAGAGAGAGAGAGAGCCTTTCTCAACCTTGGAGGAATTAAATACCTAGGAGAAATGTCCATCTACTGCCAATAGTGCTACATTCATTATATCCTTTCATCAAAGATTAAGTATGTAAACAGGTCCTAGGCAAGCCCTTGGCAAAACATAAATGAAAGAAAGCCTTTCTCCCATGGCACACCCTGCTCATTCATCCCTTCTCCACCCCTATTCCAGCCCAGCCGCATGGCCACACTATACAGAGTTCTACACCATCTTGGAGTCCCTGCCTCCCTAGGCACCTGCTCCACCTTGATAACAATAATAATAAAATATGCACAGGTCTTTACCGTTTACTAGGCTCCCAGTTCATTTAAAAAACAGCTCTAATCAGTAAATCAAGAGAGACTCAGCTATGCTTTGGTAACAAACCTCACCAATCTCAGTCATGGGACACAATCAATCTCTCTCTCTCTCTCCCTCTCTCTCTCTCTCTCTCACACTCTCTCGGATGAAACCCAGGGATGTGGCACACACCATGTAAGTGCTCTGGCACAGAGCTACACCCCCACAACAAGTGTACCTTTCACTCTCACAAACTCCATGGCAGGTCTGGGTGACTCTCCAGAGCTACAGCTGTGGATGAGCACTAGAATCCTCTACCTTGGGGAGCAATCCACATGGACACTGCTGCTCACAGGTTTGTCAGGCTGGTAGGAAAGGAGGAAGTGTCCCAGTGGAGAGGCATCTATAGTGGGTCCAAAAAATTGAGGAGATGATACCCAGGCAAGGTCCAGGCCATCTGCAGAGGGAAGGGAGGCAGGTGAGAAGATTGGCCCCCAGTAGGCAGAGATGGAGCAATGTCTGAGAGAGAAGCAGGGCCAGGAAAGGGCTCTCTTCAGGGGAAAGAGGTTTACTGGGCCAAAGCATGAGAAGCCAAAGGGTCCAAGGAAGGACAGCAGACTGACCAAGGTCCCTGACAGGGAACAGATGATGAGCTGATCCCCAGTGGAAGGCTCACACCAAGAGTTTCCCCACCCCTGTGAGGCCCATGTGACTGTCCCACCTGGAATGGAGAGGATGAGGCCCCCTCCAACCATCACTCGTGCTTCCCCTTTCTTCATTTAGCTCCCCATGTGTGCAAGGACGAAATGACAAGCACTTGTCCCTGAACTTGCAGGGTTTATACTTCAAGAATAAAAATTTAACACAGGGCAAAGTACAGGTGCTGTGAGCTCATTCACTTCAGAGATCAGAGAAGGGACTTGGGCTGGGTTTCAAGAGAGTCAAAGGTACAGGAGAAGATTTTCCAGGCAGAGGGAACAACCAAAGGTGTGGACAAAGGTAAGGAGGCAGGAACACCTGTGCACATTCTGAGAGGTCATGGTCCAGGACACATGAAGAACAGCAGCAGTAAGGCCAGGAGAGGGCTCAGGTCCAGGCTCAAAGCTGTGGCCATGATAGGAACCAGGTCACATAGCAGAAGGAGCAGCACGCGAAAGTTTGTCTGTATTTACAGCCATGCCCCATCACTCGAATTGGTAGATTGTGGGCTCCATTGAATTATTCCCCCACTACCACAACCACATCTGTAGAAAAATTGTTTTCCACAAAATTGGTCCCTGGTGCCAAAATGGTTCTACCCTCTCCCTCCCTTCTGGTCCCACCTTCCACCTCTCCAGCTGGGTGCTAGAATCCCAGGCATGGAGCTGAGAGTCAGGAAGGCTCAGATTCAGGGCAGAGTGAGGCAACTACCTTTAAAAGTCTTCCCTTCAGGTCCCCATGGTTACTAACGCCCCTTCTCCTCTTTGCTCAAGGGGTCATGGTTCAGGCATCCTTTAAATCCGTCCACACTCCAAGTCCATAAAAAATGCCTTTAGAGGTCCCAGTTTGCACAATACTTGTTGAAACCTTCCTTCTCCTCTCCCTCCCTCACACTTCACGACCGCTAGCTGACAAG